GAAAGCCCTCGCTGGAAACGCAGCGGGGGGATCACGCTGTGCTCTCTGTGCTGGGGACCCTCACGCGTGACCGAACGGTAAATATCTCGGAGAAGCAGGAGGCGCTCGGTGGCCACAGAGCGCTCGCTGCTAGCCCGTGGAAACGCCTTCTGTAACCTGAGCGTGCAGGAAGCCAGAAAAGCCAGCTGGGCTCTGCTCTTAATGTGTTTCTAATAAGCTTAAAGGGGGAGCCGTGCAAACTGACCTGCCTGTGGTATGTCCCTTCAATGTTACGTTCTCGCCCAGCTCCAGGGCCGCTATGGTTTCCAGGGTGCAGCTGGTGGATCTGGGGTGCTGCCCCAGAGCAGCTGCTCCCTTCTGCTGGGCTGGCTCCCGTGCCGCTGCATTCGGCATAAGGCAAATGAAACATTTCTTTGCAATTAGCAGGATTTGTTACTTGCTCACACAACCGTGGTTACCGAAAGAGAAAAACCTTAAAACGTGATTAACTTGGGATTAGCAAAGGAGCAGGGCAGAGCTCAGTTCAAATTGCGATTAATTACCGAGGCAGCCAGAGGATCAGGGGAGCCCGTCTGCAATTACTGGGACGTCGGTGGCGGTGAACGCCGTGTCCTGCCTCGCGGGGCTGGCCGAGGAGCCGCACCGTCCCCCCCGTCTTTCGCCACGCTCAGTCTCGCAGCTTCGCTGGCTGACGCTGTGCTAGTCCCAAAGGGGTGTAGATGCCCCGTTGGCTGCAGGACAGGCTTAATTCAAAGAGAGCTTTCATTTCTTCCCCCCTTTCTTCTCCCCGGGGAGACTGTCCCCGGTTACCAGTGCGGCGTAGCGCCAGCCTTCGAGCAGGTATGTAACAGGAGACAAGCGTCAGCCTCGGCGATCTCCCTGCTCAGCACAGCTTCGGGCCCCTGCGCAGCTGGTCTGAAATACTGCTTCCCTTAGAGTAAAGCTTATTTTATTTTAGGAAACCAAAGGGTTAAATAATTGATTACATATTTGACAGCAATTACAAAGCGCAGCCTAAAAATAAGCAACGCACGCTTAATCATTTCTGAAACTAATCTCTTCCCTGAGCTGTCATTTCGGATTTCTCTGAGACTTTTCTCAGCAGCTTTAGCTACAGGCTAACTTGGCAAAGGTCTGCTGCAGTGGGTTGCTCAGGGCCGACCCTTCGTGGGTGACTTTCGTACCAGCTTTGCTGTGGTGTTAACAGGAAGCTGATGTGCGCAAATCGATCTTCAAAGCCGCTCCTGGACCACGGCTTTTCCTTCTTTCCCCAATTAACTTGGCAAAATGCATTGTATTAGGAGCCCTGATTAGCTGTGGGTGTTTGTGAGACGGTTAATGAATCACCGTTCTGAGCTGTCTGGGGCTGTGATGTGTAAAATATATTGATGTGATGATTTCTAATAGCAGAGCGGTATCTGAGAGCTGCGGCGAGCTGCTAGCACCAGGACACCTTTCCTAGGCAACACAACATATGTTACGAACCTTTTCAAGGCTTTGTGGTAACTCACAGCTTAAGTGTTGTGTAGATGGAGGCTTTTTTAGTAGTCTCGCGCTTAAATATGGACTGTTAGGTTTCTAGGGAGAGCACACACGGCATATGTGCGATACGGGGTTACGGAGCTGGCAGCCGAGTGCATTTCTCCTCCTGCCGAATTTAAAGGTTTGGGTCGTCCTAGGTGGAAATGGGAAAGCTAACCGGAGAGCTGGGGGGAGGGCAAGGACTGCTCGCTTTGGGTTAGCCCCGTGCGTATGACTGAAGCGAGCTGATTTTGTTAACGTTCTCCCCGTGGTTTCAGACTCGGG